ATATGAAAATGGCTAATAAACATGAACCAATAGATAAACAATCTTAGCATGATTGGTCGTAATGTCATGTGACAACAAGGTCATACATTGTTTATTTAGTTAATGGACAGACAAAAGCATATTGTCAGTTATAATGGAATATCGACCCAAATACACATAGCAAAATATAATTGACTGTCAAAAACAACACCCATCATTTGGATACATATCATGATGTTGGACTTCTATTTCCGAGGTCGGTTGTGCCTGGCAATTTCATTTGTTGTTGCAGCCACTTTGGAGTTTGTTCTCTGGCTCTAACATGCAGAGACCGATGGATTCTCCCTATGTACGTGTCTCCACATATACATGCAAATTGATAAACACAGTGGGATGGAACAGTATCGTTCGCATACTGTGAGGGTTTACAGGACAGCATAGTTCTCGTTTTCTCTGTAAAGATAAGTTTAGCTGCATAAAAAGTTTTATTGATTGCCTCCTTGAGTCTTTGTTTAGTGACCAGAGTTTGTTGATCACTGCTGAACGGCAAGGATATATAAAACATCCTTTTTGGAAGCTGGTTGGTATTGGTAGAGCACTTTGGCTGACACTTCCGTGACACCTAATAAATTTCAGAGGGTAATTATTATCTTAAAATATTTAAATGAGGTGTTGTCTTTCACCTTCAAATCAAATGGCTTAAACGTTACTTCGAAACGACATAAAAACTTAATAAAGGAATATAAATTAAAAGGGAATACTTTTTGGATTCTGAAGATGTTGTCATGTGACTTTCCAGTGTTATTAAGAGCTTCTTATGATTAGAGTTATAGTGTTTTGTAGCAGTGAAACAGTTCGGTTTTACGACGGTGTTACTTACTCAGATGCGATTGATTTCTGTTTATCAATGTAATGGTTTACGAAGGGTTTTGGTGACAACTTTCATCACTTGTACGCTTTGAATGGAAATCCTCCGACCAGGTTATAACTATCAGGGAGTTAGATGATTTCATGAGGAATTGTACCTCAGAAATTGTGTACAGAAGGCGAATAAAGTAAACTGATAGTCAAGTACTGGTTTTCAGGGACTTGCCTGGTTACAGAATCTCATCATGAGCTGATATCGGTTACAGAACTGTTGGTAAACTAGCCGGAAGTATGGGACAGCGGCTGTTGAATAATATAACTGATCTTAACTACTTATTTTGTTTTAGTAGTATATCTTGTTGATAACCATTTTCGAGTTGGAATAATTGATGTTTATTTGAAGACATTATATTCTCTAAGGGTGATGTGAAGGGGAGAGATCGTACGAGGGGTAGATGAGAGGCTATGGGGAATCGTAGGTCCATCTAAAAGAGGACAGCAGATTATAAAGCAAAGTCGAGACGAGCTGCCGAGACTCTAGCTTCCAGTCGTAACCAAGGGGAACATTAATAATAAAAGTAATTTATGTGTTAACAAAGAAAGAAGAAACATTGGCGCAGAATAATCTGGATCCATTTTATTTCATCGGTTCTCATTAGCTGCACACAACCTGAATTCTTTAATAAAATAAAAAAGTGTACAATTTTTAAAAAACTTTTGTCCATTAGCAAGCATACTGTCAGAACGTTATAGTAAAATAAAGCGGTGCGATTTACAAGGTGTCTAAAGTATTACGACGTATATATACATATCTTATTAGAGAGAAGTTCCTTGAAAAAATTTATTAACAGTTGTGTTGTTGTGGTGTTAACAAAAGAAAATTAGTAATAGTTAAGTAATTAGATAAGAGAAGATCGAAATTTCGGTGCTCATGAGGTCAGATGAGAAGTTTATGGATGATGTAATACAGTGAGCAGAACTTAGAAGATCAAGAAAAATTATCTCTTAAGACAGTCAAGCAAAAAATAAAGGGGAGGGGTGAAAAGAAAGGTTAACAAAATTAGAAAACAAAAAGTTATTGAGAAGTGAGTCGCCACGGTAACTGAAGTCCAACAACGGACTCTTTTGGGACACAAAAGTCAGGCTTCAATCGTTTTATTGCTATAGCTCCAGCAAACCTAGGAAGACTTGAGGTACTTTGTTTGTTCATTATTATTTTGAATGATTCCAGCACATCTACTCGGTGTCCTGTGTCAATCAGGTGTTTGGCGATTGAAGAGCTAAAACAATTCGGTCCCTTTGACCGGAGGCTGGCTCCATGGTACACGTGCGGAGAATCTGACGTAGGCCCTCCTCTCTGCTCTTCCAATGTAACCGCTCCCACAGATACATGTAAATTGATATACACAGTTGGAGGTAACATGTGAGAGGTACCTGTCAATCTTTGACTGCACCAATGAGGAGGTTTTTGGGATAGACAGACTAATAACGCTGCAGGATACGTCCTAGACAGGGATGTGCTTAATCTTTTATTTACCATTCTCATAATGTCGTCGTCCTTGTAGTTGAGTTTGATGAAAATAGGCTTCTTACTGGCTGTAGCTGTGTCAAGCTTCTTGAGTTCATTCTTGCCATATTTTTAATGAAACTTTGTGGGTAACCATTTTCTTTCAATCATTTTTCAGGAGACATTAGTTAACTGTCTAGTTTCTTTCGTGAACATATTCTCTTCGCTCTAGAGAAAAGCGTTTTCACCAACGTTCGTTTGTATCTCACTGGGCAGAAGCTGTTGAAATTCAAGTAAAGATCACTCCATGTGTCTTTACGATATACAGATCTTTCAAGTATCCTGTCGTATTTTCTCACCAAGATTACTTTCAAAAAAGTGGAATTTTTCATCATCTCCATGCTCCATCATGAAAGTGATGCTTTTGTGTACATTGTTGAAAGAGTCTAATAGAGACGAAGCGTGACTCAGATCATTGCATACAATGAGTGTGTCATCAACGTATCTATAGTAGGCTGTTTTTTCGCCAATCGCACACTTGAGCTTTATCTGTTTCAGATTGGCCATAAAAATATCACCTCATATCGGATCCAGTGGACTCCCCATTGCTACTCCATCAACCTGGCAATACATTTCGTTGTCAAACTGTATGAAATTATAATATAGTTAACCTGACAGCACTAAGTGGACATTTATGTTATTTCTGAGGATTTTATTCATCTTCTCAGCTATTCAGTAACTAGACAAATTTATAAACAACTAAACTGTAACTGAAAAATAATAATAATTTGTTTTATTGCAAAACAGTACTTGTGACACAGAATGGAATTCTCAGCATTTCATTACAGTATTGCATCCAGTTGGTACATTATCAATAAATAAAATTCTATATAGATTGAGGGTAATCTCAGTTCATGATGACAACAACATATCAGCATGTTGGTAGCAAAGCCAAAAGTGAACAGAATGTTTGAAGGTGTTAGAAAAGTAGACACTAGCGTATTTACTGGTGCAAGCGGTTCCAAAACCAGGTTGAGATATACAGACTGTGAAAGGACGAAGAAGAATGTTTTAAGTAGAGTTTGTAAAGAAGAGAGAAACAAAACAGCCCATAACAAAGAAAGAGAGAGAGAAAAGGAAAAGAAAGAAAGAAAAACGTTGTACTTATAAATGATATGAGTTGGAAAGACGAGATCCAGTTGTTCTACTGACTTTTTAATAAGTTGTAGGTATCACGCCTAATGCTTTCTTTATCGCACAGGACACGAGCTAAGTAGGGTATGGTTGAGATTTTGTACTTGCTAGTGCGAGCATATAGTTTTCTATATAGGCTTCTGGTTTTGCCTGCTGAGATACTAGGGGAGAGTTGTGAATGAAGAGGGTGGTGTGACTTAGATAGACAGAATAGATTTAGCCCATTTTTCACATGAGTCAAAGTGGCTGTCCACCAGAATATTAACAAGGTGGTTAAGTGACACATTGCTTAACCTGCTGATAACCTTTGACACCCTACATAATAAGATATAGCCCTTTTTCAGTAGCCCTGAAAAACTATGGAGGAACAATAGAGAATAATAGGTAGGATGCAAGAGTTAACGAATCATAAGAGTAAGTAAGGGTTGGGTTATTCCAGAATGTCGTAACTTCTCGATGTAGAAGGTAAGACGGAATATTTTCTTAGAAATCGTCAAGATATGAGACGACCAGGAAAGATCGGCAGATAGAATGATGCCAAGACATTTGATTTCCGACTTGGTTTCTATTTCAGTGTCATATGTGTTGCACACCTAGTGAGTGCTAACCAGTTTGTTTCGGTCAGATTTATGCCTAAAGGTGAAATTGACTGTTTGACATTTAGAGGGATTTAAGTTAAGGCCGTTTTCCTTGGACCACTGGCTGATTTGCGATAAAACGCCATTTAGTTTAGAGCAGTCACTTTGATAATTGACAGGCAAAGATACAGCCAGGTAGTCAGCATATTTAACAAAATTAATGTCATTTGAAGATGGCAAGTCATTTAGAAAGAAAGAAAAGAGAAGTGGGGAGAGGGCAGCACCTTGGGGGACACCAGCTTCAGTGAGCACGGCAGAGGAGGATTCACCTTTGTATATAGTTTAGTGCATTCTGTTAGAGAAGTAGGAATGCAACCAGTTTGTGACCCAGGACTCAGTTTGTGTCATAGAGAGCTTATTTACCAAGAGACATTTGGGTACAGAGTCAAAAGCAGAAGTGAAATCGAGGAACGTGCAATCAAACGTATTTGGCACCTTTATCTAATGATGAGACGATACTGTTGTGTAAGACACCCACAGAATCTAAAGACCTGCAACCCTATCTATATGCAAATTGTTTGGGGTCTTGAAAATTTTTAAGCGGGGGTTCAAGTTTAAGAATTACTCATTTTTCCATCAGCTTAAGAAACGGAGAAGTAATGGCAATGGGTCTGAAGTTTACAGTTATCAAAATTATTTTTACTGTCGCATTACAGTTTCACAATACAGCTTTCTAAGTTCGTATTCTCATACTGAAACATTTTCTTCAATTGTTAACAGGTTGACCAATCGAAACTATCGTTCATAAATTTATCCTGTTTTATCTCATTGGTTTTCATTTATCAAAATGATTTTATATCCACTGAAGAAAATGTCCAATTTATGGCAAAAGCAAACAGTTTTTCATGCTGTCATGATGCAGAACACAAGTAGATTATGGAAAATTGCATGGATCAGTTTTATTTTAATTATTATAATTGAAGTGATCCTTCTAATGCATACATCACATCATCTTAAACTGGTATGCTCAATTTATTTTCCTATTACATCGATATTGTCTCTTGTGTCGTTAATTAGAATGCTTCATGGCAAGTAAAGTTACCTGGAAATACTTTGAATCCAACATTACAGACTGTAAGTTGACATTAAAATATATATTTGTGTGTGACGCTAAGTAGTTGGATTTCATAATTATTGTTCATTATTAATATTACTATTTCCTTTAATTCCTAGAGGAACATACGGCTTCAACGAAACGACACCATTGCATTCCGTTCTCTGCTAAAGTTTCCACATGGCTTCAAGTCTGCTCAAATGCCTTCATCTCCTCTCCACATGACCTCCTCCATGCCACTCTTTCACTGACGACCAACTCGCCGCATTGCATTCAGGTTCCACTCGAGTGATGGCTTGTCTAGTAATGTCACTTGACGGTTTGTTTCCTCAAAGTATGGCCCCTAATCCATCTCCATTTCTTCCTGCATATTTGTTGGACAGTCGGGTCCTGCTCGGTTGGTTTTCTCATTGCCAGAGTTTCCTGTTGGTGATCTTTTCTGGCCGGGAACCGGATCTTCAGTATTGAGTGTCGAGTGCTATTGACCTCCACACAGACTCGAGAGTAATGAAAGCTTGTCTTACTATCCCGATCCTCACTGTTGTGATATCCTCTTCAGTTCCACCAATAGTTGAACCGACATTTCCCAAGTAGGTGGATAAAGGAGGTTGTTTCTTTCAGATTTCCCCATTTATGCTGATTGTTGTCTGTTGTTGGAGCTGTTACTGTTGCTGTTGATCAGGAATATTCATCACCACATCTGTTTTCTCCATGTTCACCTGAAGTCCTATCTTCTCTGGATCCTTCTTCTTCCAACGTGTTGCTTTTCACTTGCATATCTTCCAGTTTGTGATATATCAGACATATATCATCATCGGTGAAGTCCAGATCCTCCAAGATGTTTCGTGAGGGTCCATTTTATGCCTGTCGCCTCATTGCCCGCCGCTGTCTGTGGGATTATCCAATCTACCGGAATCAAGAAAATCATTGGCGATATTAGGCAGCCAAGTCGTCTTACTTCCGTCTTTACTTCGAAGGATTCCGTAAGTTTCCCGTTGTGGATCACTTGGCATGCAGAATTGTCGTACAACTGTTGGATGAGATGTATAATCGTTGGTGGCACCCCGTAGTAGCGAAGTATTTTCCAAATCACCTGTCGATCGATGGTGTCCACTTAAGGCCTGTTCAAAGGACATCATTAACACAACTTTATGAATTACTCAATAGAACTTTAGCTCTACAGCGATGCACTGACATGAGGAATTCTCGAAAGAGTAGACTTAGAGATGATGGATAGTTATGTCGTTTCTTACTACAGGACAAAGGTTTGATTATAGTAAAAGATTTTCTCTGTGGTTTCCAAATTCCTAACACGGATGACTACTTTAGTTGCTCATATTTCACGACAGTGATACGATAGTTGGCTAAACTGTCACTCTGCACACCATCAACAGATGAATGTAAGCACAGAGAAGTGTACAGGGAGCATGTATTCCTTAAGTACTTTGGCCTCTGTTGATTGGGATAGATTGAAACTCGGTAAATCAACCCCTTGTTATCGAGAATTAACCTCGAATATAAGAAAACGGAATAAAACTTCAGTGGTAACAAAATGTAAGGATTATTTTTATACTGAACTGATTTTTTTTAAACAAAGCCAAGTAATGTGTAAATTAGTGTATTGGTAGTTCGATGCTAGAATATATGGTTACCACACAGTTTGCTTGAGTTGAATTCCTGTTGGAGCATTTCTAAACTTCGACTTTATTTTAAAAATATCCGAGAGTAATGTAAGGTATAAACGAATGTCATCCATGGATGTATCATCACTAATCACTAATCTACCGCTTATGGAGATAGTAGATTACATTTGTCAAGAAATCACCCAAATTGCAGTAGTTCAATCTGTCCTCCTCTACTGCGATAACATATGATTCTACTTTCAGTGGTCATATGTTATACATGTAGTTATTTTAATATATTAAATATTCCCATAGTAAAATTTAGAACAACACATTTAAGCGAACAATAGATTTCGTATTCGTCTTCTGCACATACCTGAGGTGATAGGCATTCAAACTATTAAGCCTACACTATGCATTCAAAAGAAGTTCGTACAGCCATTATCCCTCCCTTGCTTGGCCTATTAAGACATAACCAACAAATGACTTCTACACCACTCTTTGTTTATATGTTCAACCTCTTTCTTATCAACCCTTTAATCTTATCTTCATTATAAACGTGTTTCATTTCCTTCCCTTACAATCTAACATTACTTATTCGGTTCATTTGTTTTTGCTAGCCCTTATCGAATACTTCTACCTGAACATTTGTTTGTTTAATCTTGCTGTTTTTCATTATTCGTGTTATCACAGATTGCCTCATTTTTTCATCCTTATTATATGTAAAACCGTTATTATCATTACTACTAATATTATGACTAATTGCACAATTTATATTCACCATCTTATTATCGTATGGACAAAACACCATGATTGGTTTATAGTTGAATTTTTATTTGTTAAGTTATGTATATTAGAGTTAATTAGGCCTAATGATATCTAATTGAAAACAATTTTGTTCGCTTCAAATTTTACTATGGGAGTATTTAATATATTTCTAGACTTCACCTAATTCATTTGCCGACAGTAACTCCTGAAACAGGAGAAAGGCTAGACGTGTGCCTAGTAAAAATACACTCCCACAGAAGAGCTGAAGCTCTTTATTCCACTCAGGACACAAGGGAATATAAGAAAAATGTCTATTAAGTGTTAATTATAAAAAATAATCTCATGGAAATATCCACAGTTAAAGTTGATTTAGTACTACAAATTATTTAAAATTTTAATTTTGATTACAGCTTGATTCCACACTGTAATTTTGGTACAAGTATGAAATTTTCAGCATGGATATCGGTAGCCCAAATTTCCCAGGCCGACCATAGATATCAGGTGTGCGCCGGCAGGGGATCGACCCTCGGACCATGTGCATGGTCGGCGAGAGTCCTAACCACTGTGCCACCGACATAATTTAAGAAAGGTTAACTACTGATAAATTTGAAATCCACTAAGTGTTACTATATCAATCTCAAAATATAAACAGTAGAACCCAGGATACGGATCTTTCTTCATCATTCCTTTGTCTTTCAAGTGGAAAGTAGGGTCTGAAGCTTCAGCGTTAAAGTTTCAGTAGCAGAGGTGTTTCTTTACGAGGTCGGATTCCTAGTTTAACGATAAATTTTCCCTTTTTACAGGGATTACAAGCAGTTAAGTGCATCGGCTAAGAATCCACCTCACATCACGTACGTGAGTGATAGTGCCAACAATGTATATGTAAATTCTGAAAACTCATGGGCTTCCATCAACAGCGTATCGTCCAAGTGTCCAGACGTTATTCCTTTGGTTATACTGCTAAATATCTCAAAGTCATGTTTGAGATTACTACAGACAACAGACATCCCAAGCAAAATACTAAGCCGCATCATCCTGGAGAGAATCAAACACGCCGTCCAAGATGAAAAACTTCGACCGGAAGAAGCTAGATTCAGGAGAAACAAGTCATGTATTGGTCAAATGGCCACACTACAGATCATCACTGAACAAAGCTTGGAATGGCAGTCACCTCTCTATCTCAAATTAATCAACTTTGAAAAGACCTTCAGTGGACACCATCGATCGAGAGGTTATTTGGAAAATACTTCGCTACTACGGGGTGCCACCAACGATTATACATCTCATCCAACAGTTGTACGACAATTCTGCATGCCAAGTGATCCACAACGGGAAACTTACGGAATCCTTCGAAGTAAAGACGGAAGTAAGACGACTTGGCTGCCTAATATCGCCAATGATTTTCTTGATTCCGGTAGATTGGATAATCCCACAGACAGCGGCGGGCAATGAGGCGACAGGCATAAAATGGACCCTCACGAAAAATCTTGGAGGATCTGGACTTCACCAATGACATATGTTTGATTTCTCACAAACTGGAAGATATGCAAGTGAAAAGCAACACGTTGGAAGAAGAAGGATCCAGAGAAGATAGGACTTCTGGTGAACATGGAGAAAACAGATGTGGCGATGAAGATTCCTGATCAACAGCAACAGTAACATCTCCAACAACGGACAACAATCAGCATAAATGGGGAAATCTGAAAGAAACAACCTCCTTTATCCACCTACTTGGGAAATGTCGGTTCAACTACTGGTGGAACTGAAGAGGATATCACAACAGTGAGGATCGGGATAGTAAGACAAGCTTTCATTACTCTCGAGTCTGTGTGGAGGTCAATAGCGCTCAACACTCAACGCTGAAGATCCGGTTCCCGGCCAGAAAAGATCACCAACAGGAAACTCTGGCAATGAGAAAACCAACCGAGCAGGACCCGACTGTCCAACAAATATGCAGGAAGAAATGGAGATGGATTAGGGGCCATACTTTGAGGAAACAAACCGTCAAGTGACATCACTAGACAAGCCATCACTCGACTGGAACCTGAAAGGGAAGCGGCGAGGGGACTTCACGGAGGTGATGTGAAGAGGAGATGAAAGCGGGTGGGTAGACTTGGAGCCAGGTAAAATGTTTCGCAGAGAACCGTTGGTAATGGTGATATGCAGCTGAAGCCGTATGTTCCTCTAGTAATTTAAGGAAATATAAATGATATAGTACAGACAATAAAATTCACTAATTTATTCAGATTGGCGATACCTGATATTTTCACTAGAATGTAAAATATCGGTAATTAATTCACTTTCATTTTCACTTGGCATGAGATTGAATTTGACTACTTTAATTCCACCGCCTCACTATCTGCATGTCAATAAACGTTGTTGAAAGGAATCACTCACACTCAGTGTCATGAGAATTTGGGTAAAATTATACGCAAAGAAGAAAAAAACTGAAAAATGTATTTCGTAAGGAATTCACTTACAACTTCACAGGTGAACTTGTTCTCAAATGTTGCAATTCAAGCACTTATTTCCCACCCCAGCTGAGAACCATCAAAATCTGGGTTACTAGAATTCAAAAGATGGATAGATGAAAGGGGAAAATATGATCTGTGATAACCAGCTTTCTGTTTTTCATAATCTCATACCATATACATATGGCATATTTTTGTTATTTTTGCCTTATTGGCATTAGATCGTTTTCGTCACCTACACCTCGTCTCTCTTTACTCCAGTTGGTTTCGGTGTCAGTGTCACTGACAGGTACAAGTCCATGATGACGTAATCTTCAGAATGTGTCTGTGGACAAAGGTGTTTAGGGTTTAGATTATGCATGCTTGTATGCGAAATCACTGTCTTTCTCCAGGCTTCCAATACACTTGATTCAACGTCGAAATTCTCAACATTAATCAGGATCAAGCATCCAGGAGACACAAAGCGCCAAAGTGTTATGCACTGTGCTCTTAATATGTCCTGCCTTCGCATTACTCCCTAAGATTTAGGTACATTCAGCCAAAAGGTTTCGAGTAAAATGGTAGTCTAAACATCTATTTAGCTAAACAAAACTGTTAATTTCACGCTAATTTCACGCTGCTTTACTCATTTTCGAGCTAATTGATGTGATCACGCAAAATACGGTCATAAAATACCTTTTTTCTCATTATTCTACTAAATATATAATAAGTAGTATGTTTCACATTTTGATATATTTTGGCAAAGTATTTTAATTTCATCATGAGCTGACATCAGTTGGAGAACCACTGGAAAACCAGCTGAGAGTACTGGACAGCTGTTTCGTCAGCCTAGTTTGGGACTTGTCAGCAGCACGCACCCGCTAGGGTTCGAATCCAGGATATTCTGGTCACAAAGAGAGCTCGCAGACCATTGAGCCACCGGGCCACTGGATCGGGTCCTCACAGTCATTGCAGGGTATTTTGTAAATTATATTATTTCGTCTAATGGGGTCAACCGACACGGTCCTTTAACCTACCTGCAGAGCTTGTCCTACCTGAGTGATTTCGTAGGTTTAAATGCCACTCTAATTCCTGCTATATTTAGAATCCTAAGTAGGGTCTCAGATGTCCCCTCTTTATGTGATATAACTGTAGATGACATATATTCTCTCGTATTAATGTTATTATTACTAGTTTCACAATTATTTGTTTTTCTTTTAACCTTTTCCGATCTTCACAATGAATTTTAAAGGATAGTTTTTTAACACCAACGCCTCTTCTATCTGTTTTATTTCATCACTTAGGACTTTTTTGTTCTAATTAATGCCACTGCTCCGTTTGCTAAACACTTAACTTAGCCTGCCTTTACAGTTAACGTATGAGATGAATTAAAATCCAAATATCCACTAGAATGAGTTGGTATTTTGTACACGCTAGTGTGCAGTTTGCCTTCTTCTATTCGTTTTATTTTACAATATAACGTAGCTAATTCTCCTTGTTCATTTTTGAATCAAACGTGAATTTTATTTCCTCTACTAGTGAGTTTATGTGTTTGTCAAGAAGGTAGAGATATGTTCTGTTTTAACATTGTGAAAGTGTCATCCACATATCATCACTATATTATTTTTGGAGTAGGATTAAGTGTATTAAGAGCAACATTTTCCCAGCTGTCCATAAATATATCTGCCACGATAGGGGATATTGGTGATCCATCCCATTGCTAAACCCTCTATTTGTCTATATATTTTGCCTTTGAATTTAAAGAAAGTAGATGTAAGGCATAACTGAATTCCTAAAATAATTTCTTCAATGGACAGCTTTGTCCCATGAGTGAGTCCAGTATCTACAGTTGTTTCTTTTGTAACTGCTTCTAAGGCCATATTGACTGGTATATTAGTATGAAGATTAGTTATATCAAAACTAACCATTGTTTCATCATTCTCTAGTTGAATGTCATTTAGTTTATTTTTCATCTCATATGAATTAGTTAGTCTAGAGTTTGAACGATTTCTACTGGGACATAATATTAGAGCTAAGTGTTATTTGCCCATAATGGAACAGAACAAAATAGTTTATAACACAAAATTAACCGAGCGACAGTTTTTTTAGTTTGACATTTTAAAGTAGGGGGCGACTATTAGCTGCAAATGCAAGGCATAGAATCCATTGTTTTCAGCTTTCGTGGTCACCTCTACATATATATAAACAAGCTACTCAACAAAACTGTGCTAGTTAGATTTACTAGAAATGAATAAATCCAATAAAATTTGATCCCCTAGACTTATACTGATATTTTCCCTTTCAGGAATCTTACCATCCTCAAATCCCTGATAATACCTCAGAGTTGATTGAAGAGAAAGACGAGATCATGGATTTATTTGAAGATATTGAAATATCAGTTCTGTGTGATATTTTCCAAGGTAAGCACCCTGTGTTTATACTGGACAAAGCCTTCAAAATAACATGTATAATATCTGTCCTTGTCAAAAGATGCACATGGTCCGGGTTCAATAATTAGCGGCCGATACACTCTTAAATCTCTCCTAGCCGGTACTAAGCCTGGTAAAGAGAGAACGTTGATTGTTAGACTGTCCATTCTCACTCACAAAGAAACACCACTGCCGCTAGAACTTCAGAGCTTAAGCATGAAGCCCTGCGTTTCCCTTAGAACTCAAAGAAATGAAAGATATTGTCTTTGAAACATGTCTCAGGAAGAAGAATAAGAAGAGGTTAAATAAGTTAGCAAATTAGATTCGAAAACATGGAGAGAAGGAAGCCAAAAAACAGTAACTAGATAGAAGATTCTCACACCAGCACCCAGTGAATTTCTAACACTTTTCCAGAGTAGTTGTTCCGGGTGGTTTTGTACCTGATACTGGGGAGATTCTGTCAAAAGACTCCAGGTTTGTTGATATTAGATGACTGGAGGCAGTCGGCAGGAAGCCATGCTAGGTGGCAGTCGCCAGTCAGCAAGGCATATCTACAACCATAAAGAAATTCATGTCCCTTTTAAGATTCGAACTCATATCACCCAATGACCTATGCAGTTAGAGACGTTTCTACTGAGCTATTCGGGCTCGCAAATGACCTTCTGTATGACTTCATTTGAATGCCTATAGTTGGACAATAGTCATTGGCTGGTGTAGTGTGTCTGGTCCTTTGTTTAGTACAGACAGAAGGGATATGAGTCCTGTCACTGTGAGTGCCAACTAGCACGAAAACTAGGTCGAAGCTTGGATTCCTGCTGATTGCCTCTAACCATCTAATATTATCAAATCAATGTGCACCGTGATGGTGAGCTACCTGAAATGGCGGCCAATTTGCAAACTTTGCTGATAGAATTCACTCAGCACCAGACAAAGGTCTAGACACACTAAACTGGTCACTGACCAGTGTCCAAACAAACAGTATAGCCTTATTGTCAAAAACATACCATTTGGTTGAGAAGTAGGTATTATTTATGTTTGATTGCTTATAACCTTCTTACATCTACTATCGAAGTGGTAATCGATAATAGCCCCATATCGCTTAGATGAACACTTGTGGTTACTAGCAGTCAATAACATGAAAGGGAAGTTTTACTATCTCAAAATATCAATTAGTTTTACTTTATTTCATAATCTTTTCAGATGTCAATTCTTCAAATAAAATGAATCCACGCAACATCACTGTGTCCGAAAAAACCCTTTATGCACGCGTTCGTCTACGTATTGAACAAGGTGAATGTACAAATCAAACTGTTTTTACAAAGTGAGATTAATTTTTGAAAAAAGTGTGGAATATATATTTTAAATAAATGGTGTAAATAAAAATACTTAGAAAGTAAGCTCAACTATGATACAGGCGAAAAAGAATACAAAAAGTGCAACGACAGAAGATAAGGGCCAGGCATTATATTATCTATTATTATTATAACCTTTAATTCCTAGAGGTCATACGGCTTCAGCCGAACGTCTGTGTTGAGTTCGGTTCCCTGCTAAAGTTTTCACCTGGCTCCAGTCTGGTCACATGATTTCATCTCCTCTTCACATGAGCTCCTCCAAATCACCCTTGCACCCACGACCAACTCACTGCTTCCCTTTCGGGTTCCACTCGAGAGATGGCTTGTCTAGTGATGTCACTTGGTGGTTTGTTTCCTCAAAGTATGGCCACTAATCCATCTCCATTTCTTCCTGCATATTTGTTGCACAATCGGTTCTTGCTGGGTTGGTTCGTTCATTGCCGGAGATCCCTCCCTGTTGGTGATCTTTTCTGGCTGGCTATCTGATCTTGAGTGGTATTGAGCGAAGACAGCTGTTGATGAATGTCTGTAATTTGTTTCAGGTGAACCAGATCGTTTATTCAGGAAATCAACAGATATTTATAGATTTTCATGTAAATTATTATGGATTATTGTCAGCAAAAAACACAGTCTTCCGACTGGTGGTTTACCGCTGAACGTCAATCTTTCATCTCATTGTGGCCGTTTCCTGAAGTTCAGATTATCTATCCGTAAATTGTATCCGCCTACGCAAAGTCTGCTGTGATTGGCTGTTGAGTTAGTCTTTGTTCTTATTTTTATCATAACCAATATTGGGGACGTAAACATTGACGTAAATTATTGTCTACCAATTTTGGCTAGCAGCCAGCTCTCACCACAGTAGTATTAATTCAAATCATGATACGACGACTATCACCTCCTTATCTCCTATTCCACCATCCTGCATGATTTATTCCACCTGAAATCTGGTCACTAGTTTTATTCTCACAGAAACGGAATGAAAAGTTTAGTAGTCACATTAAAGACTCAACTTAATCTTTTTAGGCAGACTTTGAACCAACACCTTTTTAAGCTTTCGCGCCCAATTACTATAATTATCGAAGCGAATAATTTCGGTAGGAATAATGCATTCCCCTACAGTGCGCTGAATTTATTAGTCTCAGAAGATAGAATTTGATGAATCCATTAGCAGAGAAGATTTTATTTTTTGTTAAATCACACAGTGGTGTTATACAGTAATATATTAACTGATGACCACATTTCGAGGACAAATTATTACTGCTCAGAATCATATCAAGTCATTAATCACACAGGAAAAACTGTCCCGTAGTAAGTTGCTAGCAAGCATCTGTTCAGAGTTCCCTGGAGTTCTGGTGAGAAGTTGTGACCAGTGTGGTCCGACCAGTCAAGTGTGAAAATGGATTTCTCACTGATGACAATGGTTGGTGTGCCAGGCGCGCTAAACCCATCAAAAATTGGTTGAAGTTAAAATAAATTTTATTGAAAAGAATCTCTTTTTTGAATCAGCGATTGTGATTTCAATTTTGACTCTACGATCCAAGACACAAATCTTATCAATATTAGAACTTATCGAATGGATAGACTGGTACCACAGTAATGGTATGTCTACTCGGGCTTCGAAACCCATCAACCAACCGCATCACATATCATGAAACTCATTTGACAACTTGTAAACAGAAGAAACTACACCTTCTTGGGGTAGACATCCAGATAACACCAAAATTAAACATGATAATGAGACATTATGAGAATAACTGGTTCAGCTTCAAATTCCTGTAATTCATTTGCATCATCAAGGTATAAAATGTATCTTTAAAATGCCGACAAATACAAAGAACACATATTTAGAACAAATGAAATTCGATACGAATTGTTCGACTTATTTTTTTGTTTGTGTTTTTTTGAAGACACATTTTGTTTTTGTCATTGTTGTTGTTGTTGTGTCGGGGAATAATAGGACAGATCACATCACATTGTGATAGATGTTATTTCAAAAACTGTTTATAAAGATTTTTAGTGCACAAAGCTACTCTTCTTTTTTGTGGTTAGAAACAATTGAAAAAGTTAGCTAGTAGTGAAAAGTTATCACCATTAAAAATAGGTAGGTACATACAATATTGACTTTGGTAATATAAAATCTCTTGTTTTTTTTACTCCAAATGATGTCTACTTAAACAAGATAACAACATACCACCAAGAGTTGACATTTGTTCTGTGTCAATAATGTGATATATCTAACTAGTTCAATCTGACTGGTCCTGCAACTGGTTGGTCAGTTTGAAGAGTACTCTTAATAATGGAAATATAAACTGGAAAGCTGACTTAGTCGAAATATGTATATTCATAAGGGTTGGTTTGCAAGGATTAGATTTGTTTTTCAACGAGTTTGACCACGATCACGGATCGATATCAGTTAGAGGACCATTGAAAACCAGTCACAGGGAGTACGGGACAGCTGTTTCCTCCATCCTAGTCTGGAAATCAACAGTTCTCTAACCGATATCAATCGTTCCGTAGTCAAACTCGAGAAAAGAAAACAAATCTAATCCCTACAAACCAACTCTTGAAAAGTAGTGTGATGCTCGCTAGTGACTTGTTACAGGACAAAGTTTCCTGGAGTTCTTGTTAGGAGTCGTGAACAGTGAGGTCCAGTCAGATGTCACGTATGAGGGTGCATGTACCACCGACGATATTGGTTGGGGTTGCGCTTGAATCACGAATTAGTAGAAGTGGGAATTCATGGACTAGCTACTGAATCGGGTTATAGTGATAAATGAATGATATACGAGCCAGGTTTCCTTGTAACCGAAAAGTTCTGGCTTCGAACGATGGCAGTGGGTACGTACTGCCAAAGAGTCCCAGACTATGACGGATGGAACAGATGTCTGGCAGTACTCCCTCGTTTTCAATGGTTCTTTAACTGATATCAATCCTTGGTCAAACTCGTAAAATGAAATGTATTCTGTTGTATATTTTTCATGGATGATTTCATCACGAACCGACATTAGTTACAGAACCACCGGAAAACCTGGAAGTACTGGACAGCTGTTTCGCCCTAGATTGGGACTCTTCATCAGTACGCACCCACCGGAATTCGAACCCACGACCTTGTGATTACAAAGCAAGCTAGCTAGTAGACCTTTGAGCCACTGGGAACCGATCCAATGGTCCTTGAATTCTAACTTCTGTAAACTGACGACATGGCACGATCATTTCGCGACATCTTCTTCATCTTCAACCTGCCGTACCTTACTAGTCACGGCTTCCCACTATAACCCCAGGTTAACTGCCTGAATAGGGCCAGTCACTAGTGAGACATTTACTAAATCAAATCACTGTTTGCTGATAAACTTTAATTAGCTGTTAACCGATATTGTCGATAATTATTATTCCCTATAGTCCGGAATGGAATATAGGGCTACAACAACATATCTCCACTGTGTCCTATCTTCTGTTGTCCTCTTCAACGTGGACCACAATTTCCCACAAAGTCTATCATCTCCTTCTCAAACGATCGCCTCCATATCACCGTTGCACTGAAGACCTACTCATAGCTTCCAATTTAGATTCCACCCGAGGAATCGCCTAGCATTGCGCGTGATGTCATTCGACACCCTCCTCAGCATACTACCGATCCACCTCCATTTTCTCCTACATATTTACTGAGCAATCGCCAATTCGTTGGTTCTTCCCCAGGTAGAGTTTCTTGTTACTTATTCTTTCTGGTCGGCGATTTGATCTTCAGCATGGAACGTGAACGGCTGTTGATAAAAGTATGAAGTAGAATGTTGGAAATCCTTTTCGTGACACGAAGTTCAAGTTTCTGACCCGTATGGAATGACCAACTTGGCATTAATGTTAAAAATGCGAATGTTGTCCCTTATACAGACTGTAGGGGATTTCCAAATTGGTTTCAGGTTGATGGAAGAGTATTTTGCCTTTCCAGTTCTGACCTGCTTCGACATATTCATCCGTTCCGCCTGTAGTTGAAACGATGCTTTCTAGATAAGAGAAGGAAAAGACCCCTTTTAAATCTCTCCTGTTGATGGTGACTAAAAGTGACTACTGAAATGAAATGACTAACATTAAATCTTGGAGTCGCATAGAAACATTTATTGCTACCATCATAAAATTATGCCTATTACCCGAGGAACTGTTAGAAACTAGGTAGCATAGGAAATTTTCTTCCATTCTAAACTAAAGCGTACCCCTGATCCCAACAATGTACCTCAAATAGAAGTCAGAAATCATTACCATATAATGCTTACCAGTTGGTTTCACCCGTTATGAGAATTGCAGAAATATCTTTCAAGCAAATAGCTTTATCAACTTTTCTTCAGCGCCAGTGTGCACATTTTACTTCCAAGCTTCTTCACAATACACTTTGATGCTGCTGATCTTCTCCTTCTCACTTCAAAGAGAATGATCGACAAGGTCAGACACCTTCCCCTGTTGCCATTAGGAGGAGTTGATCTACTGGAGTAGTTCGACAGGGAGTATGAGTGAATATCCATTTGTAAAGTTGGGTTATGGTTTAGGATCTGTCAAAAATATGAAGAGCGTAGAGCTTTAGATCACTGGTTCTCAAATAACACTGACTGAATGATAACTTGATGGTTGTGATGCCCTAAATGAATCATTCCAGTTGAAACTAGTGTCAGTCTGGAATTGTGCATTGCCAAGTAAGAGGAACTAAAGAAGGGACAACAATTTAACAACAGTTCAGTGGTTCACTAGTTGACGTCCACCAGTGATGGAAACATTCTTAACATTACTGTCAACACCCAGTTAGGATTTATGCATATTTTTTGTTAAGAACACCAAACAAGTAGCTAAATTTTGAATGGCTGATTACCTCATTGTATATTTTTATCTAACTTGTTATACAAGTGCAGTTATCTCACACTGGCAGGGACTTTACTACACAATGACTTCTTTCTTCTGGAGTTAGTTCGTCTTCAAATGAAGGGAATTGTTTGAAATGCGACTAAGACTACTACTACTGGGTCAGTCTCTAATTCACTCACTGGAAGTTCAATGCTACCATCAGTTTAATACTTATATGAATAGCTTTCATAGTTTTCAGGCTTCAATTCTAAGGTCGTATTCGCAAATTCTTGGAACACAAGTAGATGCAGAATAACCTACTACTGAGTCGACGTTTGGTTCTAGATCGAGACGGTCAAGTTAACACTCCATTTATCGTAAAATTATTTTGACTACTCAATTTGGTTGGTGGTATAAATTACATTAACAATGAAATAATCTGGTATATGGTAATTATCAGTGGGATCAAGTATGTGCATTTCGTCCCACTTGGGACACGTCACTTGAATGCCCCCTGCTTTCTTGAGTATGCGATATTTAACCTACAATCGTTTGTATTTCAGTCCGCCCATTTTTATTGATATGAGAATAGAACTTGTGCACTGTGGTAATGTATAATTGCATTATTGGTAGAATTTATTTTGATAAAGTTACGCAGTGTTGCACAGTAATATTTACAGATGACCACATATCGAACACAGTTTATCACCACTCATAATCATATCAAGGCTCTACTTACACAAATTTCTAACTGCGCCTATATTGTTCCTCTATTTCTCATCTCCTGCCTTAATTGGTAGTAGTATTTACCATATTTCCGGTAGTAGCGATGAGTCATTCCTATTGCATGTGTTGGGTGTAGACTCGATGATTTAATTTAATACCTAAAACTAATCTTGGTACTATTAAAATACATAAACCAAGGGGTACCCCATATCATCAATAGTAGCTTTCAGAAATACTCGTACTTATGAATTATCAAAACACTTAGCTCTAATATTATGCCCCAGTAGAAATCGTACAAAATCTAGACTAAGTAATTCATATGAGATTAAAAGGAAACTAAATGACATTCAACTACAGAATGATGAAATAAAGGTCAGTTTTGATATAACTACCTTTTATACTAGTATACCAGTTAATATGGCATAAGAAGCAGTTAAAAGAGAATTAACTTCTCTTCCTGAACTTACTCATAAGACGAAGCTACTCTATGAAAAAATTATTTTAGGAATTCAATTATGCTCACTATCTTTACAGAAGGTGTAATAATGGGATCACGAATATCCCCCATCGTAGAACATAAATTTATGAACAGCTAGGCAAATCTTGCTCCTAATATATTTAATCCTACTCGAAACGTAATATGACGGAGATATGTGGATGACACTCTCACAGTGTTAAAAACACAACATATCGCCCTCTAGTTTCTTGACACATATAAACTCACTAGTAGAGGGAACAAAATTCACAGTCGGATCAGAAAGTGAACAAGGAGAATTAGTTATGTTAGATTGTCAAATAATACAAACTAAAGAAGGTAAACTCTACACCAGCGTTTATAAAAAGCCAATGCATTCTACTAATACATATTTAGACTTTAATTCATCGCCTCAGTTAACTATCTGTGAAGGCAGGCTTATTTAAATGTCTGTCTAACAAACCGAACACTAGCACTAAGTAGTACAAGAAAATACCTAAATGGTGAAATGACGCAGGTAGATGAAGAATATTTGATGTCAAATAACTGTCCTATAAAATTCATTAGGAAGACCAGAAAAGGTCAAAAGCAAAATAATAACATCAGTGAAATTAATAATAATGATAAACATAACATAAATAAAAGAGAATATAAGGAATTTGCATTAGGTTTACCATATAAGGAGAAGGGGACATCTGATACCATCCCTACGTAGTACTGTTAATAAAGCAGGAATTAGAGTGGCATTTGAATCTTCAAACTCACTCAGGTAGGCCAAGCTCTGTAGGTGGGTTGAAGGAAACTGTCGGCTGATCCAATTTGACAAAATAATAAAATTCACGAAATACTTTGTAATGACTGTGAGGTAGCTCAAATACATAGGTCAGTCAAACTAGTAGGTTGTGGCTACTCAAATTAGCAGAACACAGGAATTTAGCTAGGGTTAGGATGATTGACCCCGCAAAGATAAGCAGTTTAAAAGCAAGCTCAGAAACTGCACTGCATGCATCAACTCACACAACCACACAATCCAGTGGAAGAGGATTAAAATTCTAAGAATTAATATAGGTGGATGGAGAAAGAGGTTGATTTCTGAATCCTTATTCATCGAGTCTACACCCAACACGTGCAACAGGAATGACTCATCATTCATGCCGGAAATATGAAAAATATCACTACCAATCAAGTCTGGAGATGAGAAACATTAGAATAATATAGACGAAGTTACAAAGTTGTGTGAGGAGGGCCTTGATATGAGTATGAGCAGGGATAAATTGTGCTGGATATGTGATCACCTGTAAATATTACTGTACAACAGTGTGTGAGTTTATCAAAATAAATTTTACCCATATTGGTACTGTCCATTTTTAGCCAGTTGTCCATAATCTTCGATTTCTTCTTCGCACCCACTCCTCCACATCACTCACGAACCCAAGATGGATTTGGCGTTTCGTGTTCCAGTTCGATTCAAATGTCTGAATGGCGATTTCACTCAACCGTCTCTTCAGCGTATATCTAATATTTCTTCATTCCTTTTGTGTATATTACTTGAACGATATGTTCTTAGGTTGTTTTTTCCCAGAATTCAATGCTTTTAATCCTTTCCCGCTGGCCACATGGTTTTTCAGTATAGAGGGGAGTTAGCTGTTGACAGAATTCTGCAGCTGGCTGTTGGAGATCCTTATCGTGACACGCCATCTCCAAATATGTCGTTATTCAATTCAGAACGGCCTATAAAGATAATACAAAACTATAGACGACTATGGTGTGACAGAATTGCTTGCAGAACTACTCTTCACTCAGTGACCTTAATACCCTTGTAAAAATCATAGAATTTTTAGATATTTTTATATTTTCAGTGAAACGATAACTCCCTACTGTTTTCATTCTGCATTACCGAAGTCATTTTTTTTTACTTAGTTATTGAAGGTAACATTTAGGTGGACGATGAGGAGTTATTCAGAAGAGTAACAATTTATCTATCTATTGATTTAATTTTCAATTTATTGTCTTCGGTAATTTTCCTTTGATTACCTTTCAGATGGGTGAATTATAGCATAGGAATTGGAGTGAATAAACTACGGTATACACTTGTTCCAGATGATTACAAATGGTTAAATATAACTGGAATGTCTACTGTGGTTGAGCACATAATAAACTACACTTCTTACCATCATGTATATTCTGTTCGATTTAATGTTGCACGTTTTTTATCACTATATCATGGTGATAAACAGTTGCTTAAAGTTTGCATTTTCGAACAGGTTAGTTGATATTATTTTTTGTTTTTGTATGAACTGTATTCATAACATTGATTACATTGATTTGGTGTGTAAAGCAAATAATTACCACAAAATAGATACAAACAAATAGCAAAAAATGGGGGACACTGAATGTAAGTTCAGGGGGTGATAGACATCAAGTGTAGCATTAATATATATGTGTCAAGCATGGACACTGTGGTAGTAAGTAATTCCACACTTGAATACCAATGAGATGCTCACTGGCGACTGGCCCTATTCAGGTAGGTAGTTACCTGGGTTCCAGTGGGAAGTCGTGACCAGTAGGGTGCAGCCGGTCGGGTGTGAGGACAAATACTCGCCGAAGACATTGGCTAGCGGTCGCGCTATGTCGTGAATTGGCGGAAGTTAGAATTCAAGGACCATTGGATCGGGTCCCAGTGGCTTAATGGTATACGAGCTCACCTTGTAACCGGAAGGTCCTGGGTTCGAATCCCGGTGGGTGCGTACTGATGAAGAGTCCCAAACTAGGACGAAACAGCTGTCCAGTACTCCTAGCTGGTTTTCCAATGGTTCTCTAACTAATGTCAGCTCATGATGAAATCCTGAATTCCATATTAGTTTGTTTATTAGATGTATCGCACAGTCAGTGAAACAGTATTAGTATTTACTGGATGACGAAGTTTCGAACAAAATTTATTGTTTATAACTGTTTGAATTATAATCATACAACTTCGAAAATTGAGTTTTATAGTTTCCCTTATTCTTTCCTATTTGCCGTCGCAGGGTTATTAGAATTTTCCAGATGTCCTTTTGAACAGGTGTTAAGCTACTCTTATTACACGTGTTTGCAGTTGATTCGACAAATAAGGCTTCCGTTGCAATCGATCTTTCCCTGCAGCCTATTATATTAGATTTCAAAACTGTCATCTTATCCCATCCTATTGTATGGTTGTGTGTGATTGCATGTAGTAAGTGCTACAGCTGAAATATTCTTTAGATTTCTTATCTTATTCGGTTCAACTAATCTAGATTTTGCTAGATGTTTATGCTCGGTTAGTCTGACTGCCCCTGTTCCACTAGTTTGACCTATGTATCTGACCTGACAGTCACTACTGGTAGGGTATTAAATGGACTAAATTGTTTTGTTTTAAAGGCTTCACAGGATTGATCTTTTAACCGACAAAGCTTGTTTCTAACTGAGTTTGTGGGTTTGAATACCAGCCACTTTTATCCTTGCATTGTTAAGAATTCTCCATGAGGTGGTTTCTGAGGTTGCTTCCTTGTATGGAATTACTACTGATGATTTATATTCCCTATTGTTGGTACTGTCATTATTCTGTGCGTGTTTGACATTAATATGTCGTCATTAATATTATTATTATCACTAGCACTACTATTATTATTTATTTTACTTTCTCACATTTTCCTACATACTTCCTGATTAATTTATCAGGGTAATTGTTAAGCTTCAAAGCCTCTCTTATCTGCCTCACTTCATGTCTTAGATTTTCTTTGGCGCTACTTGGTTTTTTTGCCCTATTACTTAAAACTTTCACCAGTCGTAGTTTCACTGATTTAACGTGAATGATCGGAAATCCAAATATCGATCTGAATGCGTGGGTTTCCTGTAAACACCATGCCCTAGGATGGAATAAGATGACAGTTTTCAGATCTAATGTAACAGGCTGGAGGGAGAGATTTACAACGGAAGCTTTATTTATCGAATCAACTGCAAATACGTGTACTAGGAATGGCTTCACACCTATGCAAACGGATATCTTGAAAATTCTATTACCCCTACAATGACAAATAGGAAAGAACACAGAATATCGGCTGGAGTTAGAATTCATGAGTCGGTCATTGAATCGGGTCCCGGTGGACTAATGGTCTACGAGGTCACTATCCTTGTAACTAGAAGGTCCCGGATTCGAACCCTGTTGGTGGGTGCATCCTGACGAAACAGATGCCTAGTACCCTTAGCTGCTTTTCTAATTTTTTGTCTAACTGCTATCAGCACATGATGAAATCCTCCAACCAAAACTACAAAAACTCAAGTTTCGAAATGGTATGATTATAATTGATGAACTGATTATGAACAATAAGTGGTGTTCGAAACTTTGTCATCCAGTACAGAATACTGTTTTTCCACTGTGTGATATATATAATTAATAAACAAACTAATATGATAAAAACTTATTTTGGTCATAGGAACAGTTATGAATATTAGTGCTGAACAGATGAAATTATTAATGACCACTATAATGTGTAAAACTGGACTCAACATATACGCACAATTTACTAAACACCATGTTAGTGAGGTCAGTTACATACGTCAAACTAGTATTATTGTATTATTATTGTACCCTTGGGTTCCTAGTGGAACATAGGGCTTCAACTGCACGTCTCCACCTCCTTCTGTCTTCTGCTCTGCTTCTCACCTGCTTCCATGTTAGTTAGTCCATACTGTTTCAACTCCTCTTCACACGATCTCCTCCATGTCACACTTGGACGTCCCAATAGCCACTTCCCTTTCGGGTTCCACTCGAGCATTGGCCTGACGAGCGATGTCACCCAGTGGCGGCCTCCTCAGCGAGTGTCCAATCCATCTCCACTTTCTCCTGCATATTTGTGGGTTGGCGATTAGTTCTTGTTTTATTGGTTGCTTCCAAAGTTTCTTGTTGGTGATTCTTTCCGGCCCGGCCCGGCCATCTGATCTTCAGTATAGAGCCAGCGAAGACAGTTGTTGGTTGATAAAGGTCTGCAACCTGTCAAACTAGTAGATCAGGGTCAATTAGCCTATTGGAACATCAAAATTTAGCTAGACGTCGAATGAATGACCCTGCTAAGTTAAATAACCTAGAAAACAGACCTCAGCAATTGCACTGGATCCACTTGGAAATGATCACAAAACAAGGTGTGTATATATAGAGAGAGATTAATCACTGCAGCTTTGTTTATCGATTAAGCACCGGACATGTGTAGTCAGAATGGAGAAATGCCTATACTGCGGAGATATGCAAAATGGCAACAAAAACCAAAGGGGAAGTTGGAGAGAGAGAGAGAGAAAGGGAGAAAGAGAAAATATATATAAGAAAAACTGTGTGGCTGTGTAAATAAATCAATATGATTATGATTGGCAATAATTTATGCTCTAAAACTTGTCATCTAGTTGTTGATACTGCACCATTGTATGATATTTGAAGTTAATTTATCTAATGTGGAATCACATTCCACCACACTTTTCAAGTTCTACATTTACATTAAAGATTAACTGTAGGTCAGACAAGTGTGAAATATTATTTCAGGTGTTAAGTGTTCCTGTCATGGTACATGCTGTCATTCATCTTCCTGAATAAATACAATATTGGTATGGTGATCAAGATCGGTTTAGAAATAAACCGTAGATTGTTGTATAACAAAGATCGTCTACAAGGTGAGGAGGCCAAATGGTACAAAAAGTGTCAGGTTTTGGCTTTTGTGTATGTCGGAGGCGCTGGAGATTCGTCAATACAACCCTGAACTCTGTACACAGAAAACGTTTGTCCAGTCTCTTATTCCACCTTGGTCTTAACCTCTTCATTAGTTGTTCAACGTAAGAAACTTTGATTTTTTTTTTTAAAGTTTTCAATTTCGCTCTCATATCCTCATCAATTGCGCCTGTAGTTGAAATGATGCTACCCAGATAGGTAGGTGAAGTATGCTGTTTCTTTCAGATTTCCCTCATTTATGCTGATTGTTGGCTGTTGTTGTTGCTGATGCTGTTGGCCAGAAATCTTCACTAACTCTAATTTCTCTATGTTTACTTGGAGTCCCATATTTGACGCTTCTTCTGCCAGACTGTTGCTTTTCACTTGCATATCTTCCAGTTTGTGGGAAATCAGACATATATCATCAAGGGCGGAGTTCAGATCCTTCAGGTTTTTTTGTGTGGGTTCATTTTATGCATGTCTCCTCGTTGCTTGCCGCTGTCTGTCACATTATCCAGTCTACCACAATCAAGAAAATCATTGAAGGTGGTTGGTAACTAGGAAGCCAGTCTTGTCGTACTCCCATCTTAACCTCTTCGAAGGATTCCATGAGTGTCCCGTTGTGGATTACTTGGTATCCAGCATTGTCGCGCAACTGTTGGATATGATGTTTAATTGTTGGCGGTACCCCGTAGTAGCGAAGTAGTTTCCATATCACCTCACGATCGACGCTGTGGAAGGCTTTTTCAAAGTCAATGAAGTTGAGGTAGAGAGAGAGAGAGAGGTGTGACTGCCATTTCAAGCTCTGTTCAATGATGATACGTAATGTTGCGAGTTGATCGATGCATGACTTGTTCTTTCTGAATCCAGCCTATTTCAGTCGAAGATTTTCATCCAGGATGGAGTGTTTGATTCTCTCCAGCATGATGCGGCTTAGTATATCGCTTGAGAAGGACAGAAGCATAATGCCGTGCCAGTTCTTGCATTGACCTAGCACATATATTTTCTCTCCCTCTGTCTCTTCAACTCGTCTTTGTTGTTCATTGCCACCTTCCATATCTCCAGTGTAGGTGGCATTGCGTTATTTCGATTGTATATATGCGGCGTTGAGTCGTTAAACAAGGCTTCAATGATTGACCTCTCTTTCTTTCCACCTATTTATATTACTCTTTAATATTATCACCTGTCCCAGTCACCCTATTTTCTGATGATAATAATACAAGTAAATGAACCGCAATGGCTGAGCTCCGTCTTTTCTGGGTTATTTAACTTATCAGGGTCTGTTGTAAAACCATGTGACTAAAACTGATATGATTATGAGACACATAATTTATACTCGAAACCTTGTCATCCAGTTGTCAGTACTGTATCACCACTGCATGATATTTGAAAATAAACTTATCTAATCTTGAGTTTGCATACATTGCAGTCTAATTTCCTACTGAAGTTCGAGGTTAAGAGGTTGTCGGGGATGAATATGAAAGATTTACAATCCGACGACCCAATTCAGTAACCCTGAGTTCCCTAATTTTGTATCCTTCCCATTCAATGATCAAACCTGATTTCTACTAAGGATGACTGCTTTCAGTGTTAGAACTCTCGCCAACCATGCCATACTCCTAAACCTCTCTAAACCGGCAGTAAGTCCGATGAAGAGGGGGAGGTTGGGCGTGAGGCTAGCACCTCCCCCGCCACCACCCCACTCAGAACTAAAACTTCAAAGTTCTAGCTAAAAGCCATGCATTCCATAGGGAATTTAAAAGAATACCTTGTTGTAACCCATATACCAGAAGATATTCGCCATCTTGTCTCCATTGTAAACAGCTGCCATACAGAAACGATTATTCAAACAAAATATCAAGCTGATTCAGAGTATAGTTTTATTTTCAACTCAAAGTATTATTGACCTCTTTAATTTTTATTGATTTTAAAGTAAACTATCTTTCTGTCAGAATAAATGCTTAAGACAGTATACCAAAGTCAGTTAATCATTTGAATGTTGAAAAAAAAATTCCTACTTATCAAATTCTTTTTTTGCTTACTTAATCGATTTTTTTGTAAAGAAAAAAGTGAAGTACTTTTTGATAAATTATGGTTATTATTATTATTGAGTAACTTATATATATGATGAGCGTATTTTGCTCTCAAAGCATCTCATAATGACAATGATGATTACGTTGATCAAATAAACTAATCGATTCACATGGAAAAATCAATAGTGAGCAAAAGATGAATTTTTTTTCAGTGCACCTCACTGTCAATCAATAATATATGTAATTCTCTGTGTTCTGTTATTCTCTGTGAATACTTTTATAATCACTCACTCACTCACTCACTCGCACTCACTTGCTCAGTCACTCAGTGAGTCAGTCAATCACCTATGTTTGTTAGGCAACCTTAAGACTTGGTAAGCACACTCACGCACACATACACACATAAACAGGCACACACACACACTCAGAGAGACAAATAATCACAAGTAGAGATACTCAAAACCCCACACTTACAAGTATATATTAGATGAACTGCATTATTCCGTCATAGTATTATATTATAACTATAATCTCCTTGCATTATTGAGAAATGTAGTTTAGTATATGTGTGTAATTTTGAGACACTTTGACACAATGAAAGCTATTTTGTGTCTAACAAACGGGAGGTTATTATTACAAAACTTGGTGTGGTTGTTTTAGTTTTCCTTTTATTTTTTGCTTTTAAATTTGAATTTTTGAAATATTTTTAAAGCTTTCTTTTAGGTTAGATGTTTAATTTTTTTGTTTAGGTAATATCAGTTTTGATTGATAGAATGCTTGAAGTTGGTATTTTATATACGTAATACAAATTGGTATAAAAAGAAAACATCCTGTGGTGGCTACACTCTTAGCCTCCTGGGTGTATTAATGAGCTGACTGATTAATTAATTAATGTTATACAGATGCTTTAAACAAGAAGGTATCCGTTGAAAGATAGACAGCGCTTTATCCGATGGCATTTCTAATTTTCTTGAACTCTGTAATGACAGTGTCAGTTAGATAAGGGGGTTGGGGGGGGGACTGTGGGAATTATTACAAAGCAGGACAGAGTGACAAGGTTAGAGACAGTGAAAGAGCTGAGGGTTTATTTTTTTTCAGTAATGTCTACCTAATTACCAGAAAAAGAAAGTGATCAGCTCACTTATACTACTGAAATGAATGCACAAACCAGTAGTGTGTGTGTGTGTGTGGAAAGTCATAAACTCACCTGTACAATATTTCAGAGAGTTTGACATTTTCAGAATGAATATCAGTTATTTACAGTAGTTCTAATGCAATGTGGGATATGCTACTAATAAGGTTTATCAATAGTATGTAAATATGCGTTCATCGGCGCACAAAAACATCAAATAGCGGAGAGACAGATTTGACGCTAAAGAGAGAGAGGAAATGAATCAGCATTGGATTAAAATTTAAAAGGCATGAAAAAAAGACAAAAATAACACGATACAAAACGGCAGATATTCTGTTGTGGTTACAGTATACTTTGATAAACTCTCACATTAGTATACAGTAATATTTACAGATGACGATATTTCGAGCACAATTTATCACTGCTACTAATCGTACCAAGGCCCAACTCACACAACTTTTTAACTACGTCTATATTATTCTATTATTTGGTGGTAACATTAGACCTATGTAGCTGAGCTAACTCACAGTCCTTGCAAGGTGTTTTGTAAATTATATTATTTTGTCTAATTGGATCAACTGGCAGTTTCCTTCAACCTACCTACAGAGCTTGGCCTACCTGTAAATTCTTTATATTCTCTTTTATTTATGTTATCATTATTATTATTAATTTCACTGATGTTATTATTTTGCTTTTGACCTTTTCTGGTCTTCCTAGTGAATTTTATAGGACAGTTATTTGACATCAAATATTCTTCATCTACCTGCGTCATTTCACCATTTAGGTATTTTCTTGTACTACTTAGTGCTAGTGTTCGGTTTGTTAGACAGACATTTAAATAAGCCTGCCTTCACAGATAGTTAACTGAGGAGGTGAATTAAAGTCTAAATATGTATTAGTAGAATGCATTCGCTTTTTATAAACGCTGGTGTAGAGTTTACCTTCTTTAGTTTGTATTATTTGACAATCTAACATAACTAATTCTCCTTGTTCACTTTCTGATTCAACTGTGAATTTTGTTCCCTCTACTAGTGAGTTTATGTGTGTGTCAAGAAACTAGAGGGCCATATGTTGAGTTTTTAACACTGTGAGAGTGTCATCCACATATCTCCGTCATATTACGTTTCGAGTAGGATTAAATATATTAGGAGCAAGATTTTCCCAGCTCTCCATAAATATATCTGCCACGATAGGGGATATTGGTGATCCATCCCATTGCTAAACGCTCTATTTGTCTATATATTTTGCCTCTGAATTTAAAGAAAGTATATGTGAGGCATAACTGAATTCCTAAAATAATTTCTTCAATGGACAGCTTTGTCCCATTAGTGAGTTTAGCATCTGCAGTTGTTTTTTTTTGTAGCTGCTTCTAAGGCTTCCATATTTATTGGTATATCAGTATAAAGACAAGTTATATCAAAACTAACCATTGTTTCATCATTCTCTAGTTGAATATCATTTAATTTATTTTTCATCTCATATGAATTAGTTAGTTAGTCTAGAGTTTGAATGATTTCTAGTGGGACATAGTATTCCAGCTTCGTGTTTTGATAATTCATAAGTAGGGATATTCCTGAAATCTACTATTGCTCATATGGGGTACCCCTTGGTTTATGTATTTTAATAGTACCATACATTCTGCCAAGATTATTAGTTTTAGGCATTAAATGAAATTAAATCATCGAGTCTACACCCAACACTTGCAGCAGAAGTGACTCATCATTCCTACCGGAAATATGGTAAATACTACTACCAATCACGGCAGGAGATGAGAAATACTGGAACAATGTAGGCGAAGTTAGAAAGTTGTGTGAGTAGAGCCTTGATATGATCTTAAGTGGTGATAAACTGTGCTCGATATGTGGTCATCTGTAAATATTAATGTGCAACACTGCGTAACTTTATCAAAATAAATTCTACCAATAATGCAACTATACATTACCACAGTGAACAAGTTCTATTCTTATATCGAAGGGTAGAAATAGCACAACACAGAAGACCTGTGCAAATGACGATTTTTAGATACAGTACAGATAATTTTTCGATATAGAAGTAGCAAATACCAAATAAACATTCCGTTACCAAGTCTCTTGTCTTCAGCCGTTACATCAGTATTTCAAGTGGAACACAGGGCTTCAAAATCACACCTCGATTTCATCCTGTTCTATTCAGTCCTCTTCATCTGACCCCAGAATTGTCTATGGTCTCTCATTCCCTTCTTACACAATTTCCTCCGGACTTCACAAATGGACCTATTCCAAACTCGTCGTTTCCTACTCATGTCCCACTAGAGGATTGGCTTGGCGCGCGATATCATCCGACAGTCTCTTAAGCGTGTTTTCAACCCATCTTCATTGCATTGGGCGTATTTCCTTAACAATGGCTTGCTGATTAGTTCGTTCCACAATGGTTTCACAGTAATGAAGTTCTATCTTGCCTTTCCAATCAAACCTTTCACATATTCATTCGTGAAGCCTGCAGTTGAAACAATGCTGCTCAAATAAGTGAATGTTGTAACCCCCTTCAAATTTCTCCCAATGATAGGGATTGGCATTTTGATTTGACGCTGGTGACTGGTGTGATGTGTCTAGTTTTCTGATTGGTGCAGACTGAAATCTATCAGTCAGGTTTGTAATGCGGCCGCCATTCTAGGTAACGCGCCATGAAGGTTGCAGATACGCCTTGGTGACGAGTGCCAACTAGCACGAAACCTAGGTTCAGGTAAGGCTTCCCGCCTATTGCATCCAACCATCTAATACCATCAAATCAATGTGCACCTTGATGGTGAGCTAGCTAGAAATGTGGTCACATTACAACCTGACTGATAGAATTCAGTCTACACTAATCAGAGGACTAGATGCATCACACTAGTTACTAGCGTCAAATCAAAAATATCCCCTACAGTCCTACAGGAGGTAAATCTCGAGCCTGAATAGCTCAGCGGTAACGTCCCTGACTGCAGGCGGTACTGCGTGACACAGGTTCGAATCTCAGAAGGGACATAAATTCCTTTAAGTTTGCAGATACGCCTTGCTGACCAGTGCCAACTAGCACGAAACCTAGGTCCAAGTAAAGCTTCCTACACATTTCTTCCAACCATCTGATAGTGATTGGTATTGTATCAGTTGCGTTCTTTGAGTTGGTGTAATATGAAGCTTTCCAAGTTAGCCATTGGACATCATGAGAAATGGTTGTAATTAATGCACTATTTTCACTTGGTATATTTCATGCTTTTTTAAAGTATACCACTTAACTTACGTGTTCAGTAATTTCAAACATTTAAATTCATGAATTTCACTAATTCATAACCAAACAGATTTCAAGCCAAATCTACAAAGGTAGTTTTTATTGTTCTTTTCCTCTCTCTCCAAGAACTGTCTTCACTGGATCGACAGGTCCAGACATTGTGGACTGCAGGATATCAGTGACGTAACTAATCCAGAATTACATTTTTTAACAAGTAATTGGAGCCGCTCAGGAGGATGGATAGCTTTCCTCGAGTATATAAACAGCCTTTGTGATACAAACATCCAGGGTCACGGATTGATGAATAACAATAGTGAGTTGTTATCAACTTTTACACTGTTAAACATTGTGACGAGAATCATTTAACCCAACTGAACGAAAGTTCACCCCGTAGTAGCTAGACTGCAAGTCTTAGGGATTCTGAATGATCTGTCGTCAAGCATAGTTCACTGAATAAGTTTGTTTATAAGAAGTCGGTTGAACGAGCAGCATCAAGGAGTGATACCATTTAGACTGTCATAAAAGATCAGTAGTCTGAGTACACTGCTTTCACTTCAAGGCAGGTTTCCGAGAATAGACTGTAACCATAGAGTTATAAGTATGTGTAGAGTCGACTTAAAGTCACAATGCTTATCGGTTTGACAGTAACGGATATTTAACTTAACAGTGAGTGCATATACTTCTTCTGTGCTGGAATTTTCAGTTTTTTTTCAAATAGTGGATTTAGCAAGAAAATGAGCAACCACACTTAAAACAGCAAATGACATAAGGTATTCCTCATCATTCCTAGATGGGCTTTACACGGACCATATCATTTTCACTACTCTCGTGTAAGGAGATAAGCCTCAACAACTCGGAGGACAAAATATATAAAATCACTAATGCTATGCTCAAGAAAAGTCAACTTGATTTCATCAATATGCAGTCGGCCTATGTGACAAGGAAATTTTCAAGTATTGATTCTGTGGGGATTTTGTTTGACTGGTTGAAGGATTTCATCATGGGCTGACATCAGTTAGAAAATCACTGGAAGACCAGCTGGGACAACCGGACAGCTGTTTCTTCCTGGTTTGTGACCCCGCTTCAGCCGTCCTCACTTACCGACAGGGTTCGAACCCAGGGCTCGTGGACCATTAGGCCATTGGGACCCAATCTAATGATCCATGAATTCTATTTTCTGCCATTTGATCTGACGCCCGCTATTGACTGGCCCTATTAAGGCAGTCACCTGAGGTTGTATTTGGAGTCAATTTGAAGGTGAGGCAGTAACTCATCGAAGAAGACATTGTGAACTGATCGCGATATGTTGTGAATCAGCAGAAATTGGAATTCGTGGGTCGGCCATTGGATCGGGCGAGTCTCAGTAGCCTAATGGTTTACGAGCTTGCCTTGTAACTGGAAGGTCCTGGGTTCAAACTCTGGTGGTAAGTGAGTACTGATGAATGGTCCCAAACTAGTGGGACGAAACAGCTGTGCGTCGGTGGCACAGTGGTTAGGACTCTCGCCGACCATGCACATGGTCCGGGGTTCGAGCCCACGCCGGCGCACACCTGATATCTATGGTCGGCCTGCAAAATTTGGGCTACCGATATCCATGCTGGAAATTCCATACTTGTACCAAAAATACAGTGTGGAATCAAGCTGTAAATCAAAAAAAAAATAAAAAATTACTCCCAGTTGGTTTTCCCATGCTTGTCTAACTGATGTCAGTTCGTGATGAAATCCTCCAAACTAACAAGAAAATGTTGACAGCTGGTAGCGAATTATTGATGCTTACTGAATTCCGTAAGTCACCAAACTAGGTGACTTACTATTATGGTGCACTTTGAATCGGTTTTGGGTGGTTAGAGACAATTGGCAAGAAGCAGTGAGCTTACATTTTGTGATTTTTGTCACTAATCAGAATGGTGTATCTAAAACTTCTAGGGAACTAATATCCCCTCAGAGATTCTTACCCACGTCATCCAATGCTTCTATGAAAGAAGCTGCCATCGAGAAATTTGGGACAACAGAGCAGTGGTCATGACTACGCTTTTACACGAACAAGTTAATAAATCTTTCATCTCCACCTGAAAGTGGAGTAACAGGTTTTTCTTCATATTATCATTACGGCGATACAGGTCTCCCAGTGAACCATAAGAACTTGACCAGACGGTGATCTAAACAGGACAATTGACCATGATTTTTATCTTACTTTCAAGATAAGCAACGGGACCTTATAATTCACTTTTACAGAAGTTTCAAGCGTGTTTTGTAATTGAACTGTTCTCCGAAGAAAATTTGCCAATCATGTATTCCTGTCGCCCTAAAAATTCTTAAAATTGACAAATAGATGATGATAACGTTTAAGTGATTCTTTATCCTTCAAAATCTGGGTCTGTCTCGATGGTTCTGAATCTATAAAGAGTTATTTTCATATAGCTAATCACCACTACCATGTATGATATCATTTGCGCTTCCGAGTGTGCCACTTACAATTTTCTCAGATCCATGCTGATTGGACAGTAGGCAAGTTTTGAGAGGATAGCCTCGTTACTGACGGACAGTACATCTCAGAAGCACACAAACACGGTACAAGTGGAGCAGTTCAAGTATCCTTTATATCCTCTTTTAGTAGAATGAGGCCAGTTGAACACAGGTACTCAGCTTAGTTGCTGTCGATGTTGCTTACAATAATCACTGTAAACCAGCCTAAGCTGAATTACACCATTGGATATCCACCAACAGTTATTTATGTGCTGTTGGTTTGTAAGCTTATATTGGGGTAAGAAGTATCTAGTTATTATTTGTAATTATTACTGTTTCCTTTAATTCGCAGAGGAACATAGGGCTTCAGCCTCACGCCTCCACTACGTTCGGTTCTCTGTAAACGGTTTCACCTGGCTCCATGTCTGATTCCATCTCCTATTCACATGATCTCCTTCATGTCACCTTCGGACGACGAAGTCGCCAACTTCCATTCAGGCTCCACTCGACCGATGGCCTGGTGTGTGATGTCCTTTGATGGTTTGTCTTCTCAGAGTATGGCCGTCAATCCACCTCCATTTCTTCCTGCCTTTTTGTTGCACAATCGGTTCCTGATGGGTTGGTTGCCTCTCAGAGATCCCTGTTGCTTATCGATTCTGGCCCGTCACCTGATCTTGAGTATTGAGCGAAGACAGCTAGCTGTTGAAGAAGGTCTTTAGTTTGTTTGAAGTGCTCTTCATGATGCGCCCAATCTCTGATCCGCATAGTAAATAGCACTTACCTCACATTGAAGTTGAAAATCCGGATCGTATTTTCATTTCCATGCCGAGTGCTGTTGACCTCCACACAGACTTGAGAGTAATGAATGCTTGTCTTGCTTTCCTGGTCCTCGTTGCTTTGATATTCTCGTCAGTTCCGTCCGCCTGTAGTTGAACCGACATTTCGCAGGTGGGTAGGCAAAGGAGGTTGCTTCTTTCAGAATTCTGCCATTTATGCTGATTGTTATCTGTTGTTGTTGCTGTTGATGTTGTCCAGGAATCTTCATCATCACATTTGTTTTCTCTATGTTCATATCAATTTCTATCTTCTCTGGATGATTCTTCTTCCACCTTGTTGCTTTTCACTTGCATTTCTTCCAGTTTGCTGGAAACCAGACATATATCATTGGCGACAGCCAGATCCCTCAAGTCGTTTTGCGTGGGTCCGGGATTCGGAAATCTTTCGTCTCCCCCCCCCCGCACACTTCAAACCGTATAATTTCAGACAGGAAGTATTTAAAAAAGAATTCCGCCGCCTAATAGGTGACCTCCTCAAACATATACGCTCGACAGACATGACAGTGCTTCTTCGTGGCTTGAATGAACAAGTTGGGTGTCCGAAGATATAGGTTGATAGTTTAGTTGGGCACACGTCAAATGATGGAAAAGCATAATCTACAGCTCTATGGAGTTCATAACGTACTTCTAGGCAGCATTAACTCCCAGTGCAGCTATTATAACAATCCTGCTTCGAATCCACTCTCAAGTAAACAAGTTTGGACTCAATTAGATTATACAGGACTGACAGTTTTTATAAAATACCTGTTTATATTAGAAATACGCTTTAATGTGTCCCAGACTTCCTCTGTTTTCGCAAACGGACCGACGTAAGTAATTTGGCTACCGCCAGAAACCAAGCCTAACTTGAACATATTGTAGTTCGCTTTTCATTCAGTCAACGTCGTCCAAATGTTCTTGATAAGCATGATAACTTGCATTTTTGTCTCATAAGTATTATTTCTCTCGACATGTTATTAGTTCAATATTCAGTGTAGTGCTTCGCTTTTCGCCCATAACGAACGAAGTCTGTGGGCTAAATAGTCACTAAACTGTCTATCCAACTGGTGTGATAGTATGTCACCGAGCTTCACGAAGTGGTTTCCCAGATGTCGCGTAAGCACTGTGAATTACAAAAGTAGAACATGCGTCGGTGGCACAGTGGTTAGGACTCTCGCCGACCATGCACATGGTCTGAAGTTCGATCCCTTGCCGACGCACACCTGATATCTATGGTCGGCCTGGGAAATTCGGGCTATCGATATCCATGCTGAAAATTCCATACTTGTACCAAAAATACAGTGTGGAATTAAGCTGTAAATCAAAAATATGAAAAAAAATATATATATATAAAAGCAAACTTTCTTTGAGCTACTCATAAGTAGTCTTAAAATAAATATACCAAATATGAAATGAAGTTGTAAACTGCTGCATTTTGGAGCATTATGGACATTATCTTTGGTAAACAGTATCACTGTTCTTTTGAGGTGGAGTAGCTTCATGATTACAAACACCTACTATCTCAAGAATCCCGTGGTTTACTGGCCAGCGCATAAGGGATACCACGAATCCTGATAGTTGGAATAATGAGTTAAGTCAAGATGAATAGGTAATCACTTCCAAAGAGCGCTTAGATAAGTGTTAGGTATCAGATATAATATACTACATAAGAAATATTGCCAGTAGTAGTAGCACACACACCACACATTATCGTCACTACATTTGAATTTCGTCATATTGGACATTTTTACCACTCATATGGTGTTACCCTACGTGTAAGTTAGATGATCTCTCTATGTGTGCATTTATTTGAAAAGATAGAATCACTGTAACTGATTAGCAATTGTGCTTATTGTAGACAAGAAAAAGCACAAACCTCATTGAGGTCATACATACATGATTACAAGCGGATTTAAGGAGGATAGAGTTAAAAATTTAGATAAGATGAAGACGATTTGTAGATCAGATGGATGATTTTGATGTGGTTGTGTTCTCTGAGCGGAATAGTTATTTTCTGAAGCTTTCATTGCCC